ATAGTCAGCTCTGCTTACAACCCTGTAAATATATTTATATTCTTCATATTCTGAAATAACCATTGACAAAACAATAATACCAGTATCTTTGGCAATGTGTGAGTGCTGCAAGTTATTGGAAAAGTACTATATGATATTTAAAGATGTGTTATGACTAATATGTGATTTTTGCCTAAAATCATCTTATGTGTGTGTTCACATTCAAATTGATCTGATGTAACTATGGATCCCAAGCCCTCTCAAGCCGATGCATTGTGTGTGTTTAACTTTGCACAAGACTGCAGCCTTAGTGTACAATCACATGGCCTCCCAACATGTCTGGGGTGTGTTAGAAGCACTTGGGAGTCTCAGATCCGAAGTCCTGTAACCCTGAAGCTGACACTTCATGTGAAGCATCTGTTCCTCCTCTCCCCACACATACACACAGCCTGCACAAAAAAGAACTGTATCAGCTACCTGAGATTGTAAATTAGCCTCAGAAAGAAGGAAAAGTGTTTGCCTGGTGGGCAGCAAGGGGAGGAGGGTGGAGCTGATGGCTCAGTGGTTTTCAACTAGTGGTCCCCGAACTATGCCGGTCTGCAGGAGAGTTCCTGTCAGTCTGTGGGGGGCCAGATCCCGTTTGCCATGAACTGGTGTGGGAGCTGCAGTGCTCCATCACCTCTTCCTTGGTTGGCATTGTGTTTGTGGAGAGTGTCCCAGTGCTGCCAGAGGGGCCGGGGAGGAAGAGGTGGCTCAGTGGGAGTTGGCTGGGAGCCATGCTGTGCTATTTTTTTGTTGCTCCGTTTTTGGTTGTTTTGGAGAATTTTCTTTTTTCTTTTTGGTATTGTCTTTGGAAACAAATACACAGTATATTGTATTATGTGTATGGTGCTTTTTGTTTCTGCCTCAGCGGTCCCTGTGGTGGTTTACATATTTTCGCTGGTCCCCAGCTGTGGAAAAGATGAAAACCACTGCCTCATACCATATCCAAACTGCACCCCAGCCCCTTCACTCCTCCACCTCCACTACATGTCATCCAGATAGCCAGAAATGTCTAGATGGAGTGGAAGCTGTCTGGATGAAGTGCAGGGTAGTAAAAATTGTCACTGCTGCCCCTTAAACAACATGGGGGACTAGAACCCTTCAGGACATCATTGAGCAGTCAAACCATAATTCCACAGGACTTTCTAATTCAGCCTGACATTAAGGAAGGAACCATTTCAAAACAGCACCTCCAAGGCCCAGTGCTGGCAGAAAATCCAGCTGCCAAGAGGTCAGGGATGTACAGTGTCACATATCTAGTACCTGGTACAGGTCATCCATGAAGGCAACGAAAACAGTCTCAGTCACGTATCTCAGCCAAAAGCCCAACTGAAAAGGATAGAAATGCTTCTAATGGATTCATTTGGAGTTGTAACACTGTCTTGATCATCTTAGCAAAGAATGGTACATTTGTGACATGCCTATAATTAGATCTCCTGTATCAGGGAACAATTTTTGTGATAAAGATCTCATCGCTGCTTATTTTAATCAAAAGAGAACATTATACATATAATTACACTATAAGTTATGTATTGTATTTTATAATTGCAGGCTTTTAATTAGAACCAGAATCTGGCAGAACTTCATGGGTGCTGGAAGTGCAAGAGATACCATCCTGTATCATAAGGCAATCATTCACTTGTACCATCTGAATAAATCTGTATGCAGGGAGAAATTTCTGCATGATCCAGAAACATATGATGTATGGTTTCCAAATGTTTTAATTAATAAATAAATGAATAAATAAATAGGGTTGGTACAACCAAATATCCCAGTATGACTTATGTCTGTGTGCAGCCATTTTGATATTCATTGTCTAGCTGTAGCTTGTCATGTCATTACAACCTGGGATGAAGGGTGTGAGTCAAATAACCTATGGTCTGTTGCTGGGTTATGCAAGAATCCCTGCTGCCTGGGTTCACAAGACACAAACCATGGCAGAACACCGAACATACAAATTCTGCTAGGCACACACTGCAGCCCACTGTTGCTTAAATAGGGCTTTTCAATCATGCCAGTTGGCCCTAAGAATTATCTGGGAGCATCACCTGTGTGATTTCTGCAGAAGATGCTGTTTATATACAACTTTGTTCAGGCTTACTGAATATATGTTAGTGGAAGTGGGGATAGCAGTATAATGCCATTCCTCCATCCATGAATTGGCCCTACACACTTTTAAATCTAAAGAGACCTCTTGTCTTAAAGCAAGTGCCTTGCTTAGTGTCTCTGTGGGTTGTTTTAATCATGCAAACTGGGTCACTGAAAGCCACCTCATACATATAGAAGTTTATCTAGGTCTTCTGCTAAATGAACTCAGTTTGGGCGGTGGGGCGGGGGAGGACAAGAAGCTTGCACTTCCTCCACACATTGTATCTACGCACTTTTAAAAGGTGTAAAGGGAGTTTTAATACCTAGAAAAAAAACTTTTCAGAAAGATCATGTAAAAACTTGCAATGAAGTGTAAATGTCCTTCTTGCTGGGAAATTTAAACACTACTAATCAGAACTCAAGAAAAAGCATATTTGAGAACTCAAGGTACCAGGCAGAATTGGCATCAGAACATCCAGATGGGACAAGTGAATCCTTCTCATTAGAGATGGCATCGTGTCTCTTTCATTCCCAGCAACCATGAAGATTTGCTATTTACCAGTTTTAATAGTGCTATTACTTCTTTTTTCACCTAAAAAGCAGACTTTAATTCTGATAAAGGGCCATAGTTTCAGTTTTAGACTGTGTTGATTTTACAGCCTGATTTCATAGTCTCACTATGCCACCATAAATATGCAGTTCCAGCATTAAAAAAAATCACATAGCTAACTACAGAACTTGAAAATCCTAGGGCAGAAATTGTCTATTAATACTTGCAGGCCTCTGTGAAAGCCCTTTTTGGCTGGAGAGAGAAGTACAATTATAGATAGAAAAATAATGGACTCACTAGGTTTATACAACATAACTGCCCTTGCCCCACTTACAAGCCACAGAGTCATTGTATAATGTGTGAACTCATCATGAGTTATTTTAAGGCTAGTGTCTTGGCTTAACAGCCAACTCCAACAGCCAATGGTTTGTTGTAAGGTTTCTTTGCCACACCTGGGGTTACCATCTTGTCCAAATCACAACAGACCTGGTTGGCAAGAGAAGCAAAAACGATTGCTGATTTTGCCAAGTGGCTGCTGTGTGAGCATCACTGACAGCTTTCCTCCATGTGCCCAAGCAGCAAGGCAGGGTCAGTTGTCAGAGGTACTGAGATCATGACAGCTACCTGGGTGTGCTGCAATTCTGGTTACCTTCTGAGGTTCACTATGGTACCATCCCCACCAGCCATTTCAAGGCTGGCAAGGAAGTTGACACAGCCCCAGCCAGCAAAGTGCATAGCCAGCCAGAACTATCTCCTCTTTACTGCTGTCCTGAATTGGTAGGTGGGGACCCTGAGGTAGCTCTAGCCAACTATGAGCATATGAGCTACCTCCTATTCCCTGCTAGCTGTTTCAGGCCAGCAATGCCAATGGGAAAAAACTCCAGCCACCTTGTGAATCACCAAGCTTGCTACAATGAGGTTGCTACAATGTCAGCACTAGCCTGATTGGTGGAATGATCAGGGGATGTTCTATGTCAACAATCTTTGCTCCAACCTCCCCATTCTACTAACAAGTTGTGGTAGGCAGGGGGACAACCTGATGTTCCAACAGGGTCACAATGCCCACTACAAACCTCCTGGAAGTCTCTTCTGTGCTTATGGAGGCTATTTTGAGTGGGAGAGCCAGGCACTAGCAAACTGCAATCCTGTTAATTTTATCTTGCTATTTTTACTAATTATGGACTAGCAGGCACTAAAAACATGATTTTAATATTTCATTTTTGCTATTCTCTCTAGCCACATCTGCCATATGTGAAATGTATTCCAGGTAGGGCAATCTGTAGAACAGAGATGGACACTTCCAGATGTTGGCCTGCAACTTTCATTAGCTCTAGCCAGCAAAACAATGGAGGGGGATGATAGACATTCCAAGGCAAGCTTCTGAGGGCCACAAGTTGCTCACCCTGCTACCAAGTGTGGAGTTTTCCAATGACACCTAATGCCAATGTTATATTTATTTTAAAGCTTCCAAAGCAAAATAAAAAAAATAAATACAAGACTGTTTCGAATCATAAATAAGCCAGTTGCTGGTCCATGGCAATCAAATCAGAACAAATGACGAGCAGTCACTTATCCATCATTCTCGGAGATGACTTCTTTAGCGAACTAGTTGCGTTGCGCACGCGCGGACTCTAGTCAGCACTACAAATCCCGACATGCAGTGCACCCTGCTAAATCCAATCGCTATCAAGGTCTTACAAAAACTGAATTTGGAGGTACACTTTCTACTCGCTGCCTCCCCTTTGAATTCCACACAGACGGCTAAGGTTGGCTTTAAAAAGCCAGGCTCAACCAATTAGAATTCGAGGCCTTCCTCTGGAGAGAGCCAGGCGCCACTAAGTCAAGGAACGGCAGGGGCATCGCATCCTTCCCGCGCTGTCAGTGACACGCTCGCGAGTTGGCTCGCGCTTCTTTGGCCTTCCCATTTCATTCGTTGCCCGATCCTTTGAGGCTTGTCAATCAGCGGTTCAACAGCTTTACCGCACGCGCTCAAGCAGAGGCGGTCAGGCGGGGAACACAAGTGAGACTCTTTCGCTCCGCCCCTGATCCCGCCTCCGCTTTCCTTTCGCTGTCAGAGGAGAAAAAAACACCCACCCACAACGGCAGTTAGTCCTGCTTTTTTCTTCCCTGGCCACGCCCAGCCCTGCTTTCGCTTCGCCCCCTTCGTCTTTTCCTGCTCGCGCTGCTGTGGTTTCTGTCTGTAAACCGACCGGCCTGCCTTCCAGCTTTCAGGCAAGGGCCCTGCTCATGCGGAGCTCGCGCCGCCCTCGCTCCGCCCCCTCCCCCCGCCCCTTCCTTCCCTTCGGGCCAGCTGCTGCCAGCATCGGTTCCCTCCTCAGTGGGTGTCAGCCTGGGCCGCGCGGGGCTCCGCCCTCTTCCATCCCCAGCGCTCTGGCTCTTTCGCCTTTCCCCCCTCCCACCCCTTCGTCCGGCTCGAAGTTGTCAATCAGGGGCCGGGGCTGAGGCAGGCGGCGGCAGCGGGCGGAGAGACGGGCAGCTACGCCACAGCCCAGCGGCGGCCATTCGTGGAAAAATAGGCCGACCTGCTCCTCCCAGCTCCGGCAGCGACCGGCCTTCTCCCCGCCGCTACCCCCAGCACCCCGCCCTTCGTCCCTCCCCTCCTCCTCGAGCCGCGCCTCAGCGGGTGTTAATGCGGGATGAGCGGTACGTAGCCCACACCTTCCTCCGTCCCCTCCTTCCCGCCCTGCTCGCCCCCTCTCTGCCGCCCAGGCGCGCCTTCCCGCCCTGCCTTCCCCATTTCTTGCGAGCCCCTCTTTCTTCCCCGCTTATCCCTCCCTCTGACCCTCCTCCTTTCCTCCCTCTTCCATTCCCTCTTTCTTCCCCAGTCCTCCCTCCTGTGCTCATCCATCCCTCCTTCGTTTCTGTTTCCTCCCATTTTCCCCTCCCTTGCGCCTCCCTCCTCCTGCCCCTAAAGCATCCTGGGCCACTCAGTAGCCGTAGATGCTTTAGGGGCAGGAGGAGGAGGAGAGTTGTGGGTGGATTTCCCCCCCTCTGCCTTACAGTCTCCGAGACCAGAAACCAATCAAACCTCCCCTTTCTGGGTGTTCACTCGCCAGCCCCCGTAGGCCGGGTTTCAAACCACGTTTCTTAGGTCTCCCTTTTCTGCACTACCGATGTGGACATTGACTTTGAGACAGGAGGAGGAGGGCAGGGCGCTGGTGAGAATGTTCTGATAGGTACACATTAAAAGGAATAACAATGCTTAATGGGTTTGGGGTTGTTGTTTTTTTGCAGATCAAAAGGAAGAAGCTATGGCCTCAGAGGGAGAAAAATCTCCCGAGGCTGAAAACAACAATAAGAAAAGCAAAACTGGAGCCTCTCAGGTAAAATACATAGGAAAATGGGGGAGTTGCCAATATAAAAACTAGCTCAGTTGCTTTCATGTTAAGTTATATTGCCATGTGGCTAGTGAATGCACTCAAATATTTATTGCCTTGGACATATGTGGGGAGGGATAGGTTTCCTTGTATTTGAGAAACTATATTGCAAAGGCCTATAAAGAGTTTAGCAAAGAAAGAAGCATTTGAATAGAATGGGTTACTTTAAAGCTAACATAGATAGCTGATAACGCACTAGATTATCAGTGTGTTATCTGTCTTGCTTTCCTAGCAATCTTTAATATTCTTGGTGCTGTTTTGTAGATCACAAGTCCTGTTTATCTTCTAACATGCACTATATTTCTGTTAGGATTCCCAGCCTTCACCTCTGGCTTTGCTAGCAGCAACTTGCAGTAAAATAGGGACTCCTGGTGAAAATCAAGCAACTGGACAACAGATTATTATAGATCCAAGTCAAGGTTTGGTGCAGCTTCAGAATCAACCACAACAGTTAGAATTAGTCACAACTCAGCTTGCTGGAAATGCTTGGCAACTTGTTGCTGCTGCTGCTCCTCCTCCTCCTCCTGCTTCAAAAGAGAACAATGTCCAACAAGCATCTTCTGTTGCTTCAAGTGCAGCAAGTCCTTCCAGCAGCAACAATGGAAATGCATCCCCTTCAAAAACAAAACCAAACAATTCTTCTGGAATAACTCCAGGACAGTTTCAAGTAATACAAGTACAGAATCCAGGTGGTAGTGTTCAGTACCAAGTGATTCCACAGATTCAGACAACGGAAGGTCAACAAATTCAGATAAATCCTGCTAATGCCGCAGCTCTGCAAGATTTACAGGGTCAAATTCAGCTCATCCCTGCAGGGAATAATCAAGCTATTATTACAACTACAAATAGGACAGCTTCTGGGAATATTATTACTCAGAATCTGGCAAATCAAACAGTGCCAGTCCAAATAAGGCCTGGTGTTTCTATTCCACTGCAGTTACCTATTGCTGGTACTCAGGCACAAGTTGTAACATCACTGCCTATAAACATTGGGGGAGTGACTCTGGCATTACCTGTAATAAATGTTGCAGCTGGTGGTAGTTCTGGACAGGTTGCTCAGTCCACTGATAGTGGAGTTTCCAATGGAAATCAGCTGTTATCAACACCTGTCACAACAGCTTCTGTTAGTACTATGCCAGATTCTCCTTCTTCTTCCACTTGCACAACTACTGCTTCCACATCACTAACAAGCAGTGAAACTTTAGTAAGCTCGGCAGAAACAGGCCAGTATGCAAGCACAGCAAACAGTTCTGAGCCTAATACTGAAGAAACTCAAACAACCACATCAGAGACAGAAACTCCGAACTCCAGTCAGCTTCAGTCTAATGGATTGCAAAATGTGCAGGAACAGTCAAATTCACTACAGCAGGTGCAAATAGTAGGTCAGCCTATTCTGCAGCAAATACAGATCCAGCAGCCACAGCAGCAGATCATTCAGGCTATATCACCACAGTCTTTTCAGCTTCAATCAGGACAAACTATTCAAACCATTCAGCAGCAGTCCTTGCAAAATGTTCAGCTACAAGCAATGAGTCCAACGCAAGTGCTTATAAGAGCACCAACTTTAACTCCATCAGGGCAAATAAGTTGGCAAACAGTGCAGGTCCAAAATCTTCAAAGCCTTTCAAATCTCCAAGTTCAAAATGCTGGGTTACCTCAGCAACTCACCATCACCCCTGTATCGTCAAGTGGTGGTACTATAGCTCAGATTGCACCAGTAGCTGTTGCTGGTACACCAATAACGCTAAATGCTGCTCAGATTGCTTCAGTGCCTAATCTTCAAACAGTAAGTGTAGCCAACTTAAGTGCTGCAGGTGTGCAAGTTCAAGGCGTTCCAGTCACCATTACAAGTGTTGCAGGTAGGTGCTTCTAGAGAATATGGGTTTAGCAGTAGTGCATCAAGGCAATAGTAAAGTGTAATTCACAAACAGGTTAAGACTTGTTAACATAATAGATTGCCATCACTTTTTTGACTTGTATGGAATGTCACTCTTCCAAAATATTTGGGGTCGGGCAGGGTGCTATGGAAATGAGGGAGCAAGGAAAGGTGCATGTGTACTGAACATCACTTGTATCTCTGTTTAGCATAATAGGGACATTGTACTGGGTATAGTTTAAAAAATTACAATTGCAGTAAAATATCTGTATCAGATCTTTCAGCTTCCAGCCTTTAACCAAAATGTTGGCTCCCAGCTATTAACCTGTCCCATGATGTCAGCCTTTGCTTGTGAATGGAGAGGAAGTAAGGACTTGACTCAGGTCACTACATGAGTCAAGCCAAGCACTTGTTGGAAACTTCCCAGGGAGCTTTAGCTATTAGTAATTATAGAAATAAAATAATAAAGTCTTGATTATAGAACCAAACTTAAAACATGAATATATCATGCATTTCTCCTTACACTGCATTTATATCTCACCCTTTTTCCTCTTGTGATCTACTACAGTGTTGTCTGAATTAATATGCAGAATATATTTTCATTACATTCTGTTTACAAGCCTGAGATTCAAATTAATAGTCAGTTTGCATCATGATTATCCAAGGAAAAGTTGCAAACTTTCTTAAAACCCTCAGAGATAGATTATACTATACTTTAAAAGTTGTAAAACAAATATGATGAAAGACAGTGCGATACAGAAATCCATTAGGACTGTACATGACATGGCTTGTAAAACTGTTGCTATTGTAACTCAGAATATTTGATTGTAAATAAAGAAGTCCACTGCTAGATATTAAGAGATTGTCAAAATTAAAGAACACTTTAAGAAATGGAATGCCAACATATTGAATGACTGGGTCCCATTTCTAAGAAGGTAAGTATGTAACGTTATGAATGCATTGAGGGCAGTTATTTTCCTTTACCTGTGCTGAAGATAACAAAGGAATAATTTATAGAAACTTTCATTTCCTTATGTAAAGCAGTACTTGGCTGACATAGGATTAGCACTTGTTTTCAGACTGTGAACTGGAATAGCCTCTAAGGTTAGTGGCAATCAGTAATGTGGGATGGACATTTATTAAGAACCTTTTTCTTAAGTTCATTAATAAAAATATTATAGGCCAATTGAAAATGCAATATTAGGCAAGCTAAGTTTTTTAGGTGATTAGCCTTATGTGTGACAGAACACATCTCTCTGAAATTCTTATGTGTCTCAGAGTGAAGTGGAACTAATGAGTAATGGGAGTGAAACTCTAAAGGAAGAGAGTTGAATGAAATGCTTGCTGGTTAGTATATCATGCACTTATCTTTGGATTGCTAAATTTAATAAGTATATGAACTGTTTTCAGTTCCTTTGTGTTTTATCCTTAATTTTAAGCAATGTAAGAACAGTACATAAAGTATTTCAAAACAACCAAAAAAATCTGCATCACTAAACATGTAAGTTGCCTTTCATTTATTATTTTTCTATACTGTCCAATAGCCAAAGTTCTCAGGGCAGTTTACAATGATTAAAGCATTACAAATACATTATAAAAATAATATATACACACACACATAAGCATCAAACACGGGTGGACACATATCTAAACATTTTAAACAATGCAAAAATACGACCTGATTAAAAGCTTCTCTCATTGCCATATATTGATCCTCCCTCAGAAGAAACTCCTGAAGGCAGCCTTAGAGAATGAACATAGTATATGGATAGGTTTATACTGGGAAAGGCTGTTTTAATTTATTCCTCAAAGATTGCAAATCAGATACTAGTGGTGTAAAGTTTAAATGGGGTAGTTTTAAAAGCTTTGTTTACTAAAATGCAAGTACAAAAGCTTGCTAAATTAGATCTTAGAGGACAAAATGTGCAGAGCGCTATGCTTTCTATCACTAATTTTCATTGGTATGCTGGCTAGAGCTGCTGAGAGGCTTAGTCCTCCGGACTTTTTCTGGGAAAACTCACGTCACTGGTGACAACCATAGTTGATGTTTTCTAAATCTAGCAAACCACAATTTGCTTGCAAATCACGGTTTGGAAATCTTTAATCATCAAGAATGAGGAACATAGGATGGAGAAAGTGCATGAAACTAAAGCTTATGCTACAGTTTACTGTTGCATCTTAACTGCTTGCACTGTGTCCTAATACTTTCATACAGAGATTGCCCACTGAGTTCACACTCAATTCTGGTACTGTTAAGACTCTGTGACTTGAGCTGTAATGTTACAACATGTCAGAATGTCTTGCTAAATTCCTATAAACAGCTGAAAGGTGAGTGGTGGCCATTGAATCCTTCCCTCAGCTTTACCTGAAACTTCTTAGATACATGTTTGTTTTTTCTTCTAATGAGGTTAGAACTTCAACTATAAGGAAAATGGGAAAAAGCAATTTTGAGGATAAATGCATGGAATGGGAGAAAGGTTCAAGAACTTTAGCAATAAATATCCTCACTTCTGTTTTATACAAGTGTAACAGTGATCCACATTCTGCTGCTGTCCTGTTTAGCTTGTTACACAGTTGTAGCTGAAAAAATCTGAGAACTGGTTTCCCCATTCAGTGGTTACATTGATTTGAAATTTCACTTAGCACCTGTGTGCATTGCAGCAAGCATAATATTTTCTTGGTCACATTCTTGAGTTTACTTTTTCTGGATTCCTTGCTCTACCATAGCTTTGCACCATAGCAATAAGCAAATGTCTTTACAATGTATGAAATGCGATCTCTACAGAAAATGTAGAGAAAAAGTACAGATGTAAAACTTATATTTTTTGGTATATATTACATAGTAGAAATAAAAATATGCACAGAGGGTCATACAAAATCTTACAAAAACATCACAAACAAAATATAGAGGTATAGGAAACCACACAATTCTAAACTATCAATAGTCAAAGCATTCTGTGTCTTCCTACTTTCATATTAAGCAAGATGGCTGTAACAATATGGCGCCCAATCAGAAATCTACATCGATGCAGCAAAAAGCTGCACCTTCATTAGTTCAAATTATGTTGTTTCATATAAAAAGTAAATAGTCCATGGGGGTATTCTTCAAATTAACAACTGAGGAAATATTTTGTTCATTCCAGTAAAATACTTTATCCATCTACTCATTCATTTCGTTGAATGAAGACTAACCTCTATTTAGAAGCCAACTTTATGCCATTTGTCTATTTTTGTACTGTTGAAAGGTTTTTCTACCAGTTCACATGCTTTTTCTTATACTATTAATATACCAAAGAATTACGTACATAGAGATCAAAGGTATAAAAAAATCTCATTCTATTTAAATGGGCTATAACTTTCCCCAGAACATCCCATTTTTACATGTTCACCATGAGGAAGAAAATATACATTTCCTTTACACATTTCCCAAAAGCATAACTAATATTAGGCCAGGAAAATTGCTAATGGAGTCTGACTTATGATAACATAGTATGCCAGTCCTCTTCAAGCAGTTGAAGTCCAGGCCTGATTTAAAGTGCTAGTATTAACATTCAAAGCCCTAAATGTCTTGGGACCAGGTTATCTGAAGGAACCCCTTATTCCAGATGCATCTACCTGGACTCAGGTCATTTTCAGGGAGCTCCCTCAAAAGGAAGTAAGGCAGGTGGCTACCAGGAGAAAGGCCTTTTTCGTCACTCCCTGGCTATGGAATGAGCTTTTCATAGATTTGCGCCTGGCACTTATTTGGTATTGTTTTTAACTTCCTACTTTGGTTTTAATACTTCATTTTATCCTGTATCATTGCTATACCTCTGTCCTGATTTAAGTCACAGTTGCTGTGGTTTTATGTCTTACGTTAATTTTTTATGTGTATGTGTGTAACTTCTGTTAACTGCTCAGAAAGCCTCAGCTATTGGTCAGTAGGAAACTAGTACAGTAGTGAGAACCAGATTATAGCTTCTCTACTAATACACTGATTTTCTACTTGCATGAAATATGTTGCTTTTACAAGAAAAGCATTAACAACACCTGGTATCACTAGCTGTGGCGAAAATGTCTTTTATCCTTTTAGAATTTTACTATTTCATTCTTTAGCATGTGTAGACCAGGGCAAAAAGCTAGTTGGATCTGGCACTGCATTTTGTCATCTCTCTCTCACATGGCTTCTTGCTTACTCTGTATTCTTCCATCCCTGTTCAGCCTGCAATGCCATGTTACACATTCTAATAAAGGGTTAATTATGCTTGGTTGAATGGTGATTCAAGCTACGTGAATTAGTTGATTGGAAGAGATCCACAATCATCTCCTTATGAACTTCAGTCTTCAACCAGAAAATATTTAAAACCGAAGAGAACTAGTAAAAGGATTTGGTTAATTTACATTCTGTTCAGTATTGGCAACTAATTGATGTGTTCCATTTCAGAAACCGATACAGTTGAACCTGTCTAGGTAGAACGCTTTCACCCAATTTTAGCTTCACTTCTGCCATATATTACTCCTTTTTCTTGAAGTGTGAAAAATTCATGGAATTGCTGTTGTAGACAAGGCACAGAATTTTAGCTCTGCTGGTTGGAAGTTGTAGTTAGAAATGAATACTTTACTGACATTTTGAAAACATGCAGGAAAAACTTTTATCTCAGAAAATAAATATGGGGCAGCAGGAAACTGAAAAATAAGCAGTACTTTTTTTCAATCTAAGCTCTTCCTGCAACTTTATTTAGGACTTGGATACCTATCAGCCTCAGGTAGCTTGACCAGTGGTCTGGAATAATGGGCATTATAGGCAAATACATCTGGAGGACATCAGGTTGGAGAATGCTGTTTTAGGAATATCAAGCAGACCATAAAATACTAAACATGCTAGTTACACAGACAAACCCAAGTTATATATAACTATTTTAAAATTTATGTATGTTTTAGGTTCCTATATTATATCTGGCCAGAGGGAATTTCCAACATGTAGTCCCTGGAACATATGAGTCA